CCACCACCGGCAGCCCCTACCATTGCTGCTGCTGCTGCTGCTGCTGCTGCTGCTGCTGCTGCTGCTGCTGTTGCCTCTTATGCTGCTGCCTCCCTGCTGTTCCCACCGCAGCAGCAACAGCGCCACCACCACCGCACCCCAATGATAATTAACAATAATAATAATTAATAATAATAAGAAATAAGAATAGGAAGAATAATTAATAAGTTTAAGAATAAGAATAAAGAATAAAGAATAAATAAAAAGAATAAATCTTCATTAGCCCGCCCAGTCCACTAGAAAAGACAGTAGAATAAAGAATAAAAAGAATAATAAGAATAATAAGATTAAAGAGAATAAAGAATAATAATAAAGAATAAAGAGATTAAAGAATAAAGAAACAAAAGAATAAAGAATAATAAGAATAAAGAGACAAAAGAATAAAGAGTAATAAGAATAATAAGAATAATAAAAAGATAAATAAAAAGATAAATAAAAAGAATAAAAAGAATAAAAGTAAATCCTAATCCCAAATCTTAATGATGCCGTCCCAGCCACAAGAGAAGACAGTAGAAGAAGTGTAGGGCAGCCAAAGTGCATGCATGCAGACTTTTTGATGTGCTTTAAAAGTTTTAAGTAGTTTAGTTGTCTTGAAGCTCCAGAAGAATAATCGTCCTGTGCTGTCCCCACTAATAATATATTTACCGTCAGGAGAGAAAGAAGGTTTAACAGCAAAGCCTGAAGAAAGATGGCCTATAAATTTTCTTTTAGGTATAAATCTAAACCTCCCAAAGGCTTCATAAGTATAAATAGTATTATTCATTGACTGAAAAGATATATATCTTGAAGAAGGATGTATGCATGCACTCGGCATTGAAAACATATCAGGATCTGCTATATGTTTTGTTACAACAGGAATGCCGAACTCCCATATAAATAACTTTTTATCATCAGATGTTGTAGCAATTCTTTTATTATCTTCACAAAAGGAGACAGTATTAACAGGTCCTAGATGCTCTGTATATTCAACAGTAATATCTCCCGATCGTGCATCATATTGAACAGCTTTTCTGCTATTACTACCGATAATAAATATATTATTATCTCCCGAGTGTACAGACACACAATACGGTGTCCCTTTATCTTTAAAACTTTTTACTACTTTTCCTACCTCTGTATCCCAGAGTTTAATATATCCATCATAGCCGCAAGAATAAAAATGACGTCCATCGTTATCAAACTGTATATCTCGTACAGCTTGAGAATGTGCGGTGTATGTACACTTGCACTTCCACTTCATATTATTATAACTATAATGTGTATTATTTTTATTTCTTTCTTCGCCCCAAATCTTTATTGTACTGTCAAATGATGCTGATAATAATAAATGATTTGTTGTAGGAAATAAACGCAGTGTCTGTACACCTCCGCAATGTCCTACTAAAGAACAGACTTCTCTCTTCGGTAAAAAATACTCCGTTGAAGATGAAGAAGCACCAAAAGAAGAAGCAGAAGCAGAAGCAGCAGCAGCAGCAGAAGAAGAAGAAGAAGAAGAGGGGGCACACAGCCAAGAGCGGCCTTGATAATCGTACTTATTCAATATGTGAAAGATACAGTCTGATGATGAAGATGAAGATGACTCTTCCTTCTTTAGCTTCCCTTCACCCTCAGGCTTTGCTGCTGCTGCTGCTGCTGCTGCTGCTTCTGCTGCTTCTGCTGCTCCTGGGGATGTAGCATCTGCTGATGTTGCTGCTGCTGCTGCGCCTGCAGAGCCCTCCTCAACCACTACCTCACCATCACCTTCTGCTTCACCTCCTGCTGCTGCTGCTGCTGCTGCTTCTGCTGCTGCATCTTTGGGGTGTACGTACACCGCCCAGGGCCCCTGATAATCAGGGCTTTCTACGTCGGTGTTTCTGTGGGGTCTCTGAGCTCTTCTTTCCTTCCGGCTCAAAGGCCTGCTGCTGCTGCTGCTGCTGCTGCTGCTGGTGCTGCTGCTGGTGCTGCTGCTGCTGGTGGTGGGGGGCAAAGGCAGCGGACTGAACTCCGCTACACGAATAGGGGCTTCAACAAGAGGTTGTGGGTTTGGATATCCTGCTTCTGCTGCTGCGACAGCAGCAGCAGCAGCAGCAGCAGCAGCACCATCCGAAGGATCGGCAGCAAACCCTTCAGAAGCAAATTTATAAAACTGCTGATCAAAGGCAGCACGAGATAAATGTGCTTCTTCAACATCTCCGCATAAACGCTGTCTATACACATAACGAAGCCCCCCTTGACGCTCTTGCAAAGGGGTTAAGGGGCCTGCAGCAGCAGCAGCAGCAGCAGCAGCAACAGCAACAGCATGGAGCAGCAGGATATAGCAGCAGAAAGGAACAGCAACAGCAGAAACGGGAGGGAAAAATAAGCTGCAGCAGCAGCAGCAAACGGCGCAAGCAGCAGCAGCAGCAGCAGCAGTAGAAGTAGTGAACACAGCAGCAACAGCAGCAAACAGCAGCAGCAGCAGCAACAGCAGCAGCACAAGCAGCAGCAAAAAAAAAGCACCATCAACTCTAAACAACTACATGCAGCAGCATCCCAACAACCACATCCAAACCCTAAACCCTAAACCCTAAACCCTAAACCCTAAACCCTAAACCCTTACCAACGATGGGTGCCTCTACAACATCTACTTTGGGGTTATGCATAAGTTCTCTGTCTTCAGGTCTGAGGAGACAGCGCCTTTTCTGCTGTATAGACAGCTCAGCTCCTTGAATGGTTGAAGGAGCGCTATTTAAAGGGGCTAGCAGCTTTATTTCATGCTGCAGCTGCTGCTGCTGCTCCTGCTGCTGCTTCTGCTGCTCCTGCTGCTCCTGCTGCTGCTTCTGCTGCTCCTGATGCTCCTGCTGCGGCTGCTGCTGCTCTGGAGACCCCCCACACACCTCAGAAGAGCCGTCTTCGGCCTCCGCATAGGAGGCAAAGTAATCCATATTTTGCTGCTGCTGCTGCTGCTGCTGCTGCTTTTAATTTCGTTGTTGTTGCTGCAGCAGGTGCTGCAGCTGCTCCGGTTGTTGTTGTTGTTGCTGCTGCTGCTATCTGATTTGCTGCTGCCGTTGATGTTTGCTCGCACTGCAAGCCTTCAACAGCAACAGCAGCAGCAGCAGCAGCAGAGGCGCTGTTTAAGCTAGAAGCAAGAGACACCGAAGCAGCAGCAGCAGCAGCAGCAAACTATCCAGCGCCTAGCGGCGAACCTAGCAAACAACCCCACAGCTGCTGATTCTGCTGCTGCTGTTAATCCTGCTGCTTCAAGACCGATTCCTTCTTCTGCTGCTGTTGCTACTGCTGCTGCTGTTAAGTAGTAGTACTGTTGATGCTGCTGTTGCTGCTGCTGCTGCTGCTGGCTTCAGAAGCGCAGCAAGATAAACAGCACTACGAGTAAACCGAAAGACGTAAGTAATAAATATTGATTAAGAAAAAGAAATTTACACTGTCCTCACTGCTGCTGCTGCTGCTGCTGCAGGCCACGTGCATGCGCTGCTGTGATCGTAGCAGCAGCAGCAGCAACTGCTGTTGCTGTTACAGCCGCCAGAGCTGCTGCTGCCGACTTTAGCAGCAATTAGTTAAAGGAATCAGCAGAATTGTTTTCTTATTTTATTTTGTCTTTCGTTTATAAACAATATTCATTTATTTATTTGTTTGATTGGTCTGCTGCAGCGCCGCCGTTAGCAGCAGCAGCAGCAGCAGCACGAGCTACTGCAGCAGCAGCAGAAACTGCAGCAGCAGCAACAGCAGTAGCAGCAGCAGCAGGTTCGACAGCAGCAGCTGCTGCTGCAAGTGCAACAGCTGCAGCAGCTGCTGCGTCAACTGCAGCAGCAGCATTAAGATGGCAGCAGCAGCAACAGCAGCAGCAGCAGCACCGTTACGGCTAGCGGCAGCAACTCGTTATTTGAGCCTTCGCCGGATGTTGAGGTCCCTGAAGCCTTCCACGCACTCAACAAACCCTAAACCCTAAACCCTAAACCCTAAACCCTAAGTCTCCATGGGTTTTTGCTGCTGCTGTTGCTGCTGCAATGGACTTTAGAGGCCGCAAAGCAAATTCTGTTGGCGATCTCTTTCACTTTGTTCAAGTGCAAGAAGAAGAAGAAGAATCAGCAGCAGCAGCAGCAGCAGCTGTTGCTGCTGCTGCTGCAACAGCAGCAGCAGCAGGAACTGCTCCTGCACATGCTGCAGCTGCAGAGCCGCTGCTGCAGCGGGGACTACCGCAGCGTCAGGCTGCTTCTGCTTTTGCTGCTGCTGCAGCAGCAGCAGCAACAACAACAGCAGCAACAGCAGCAGCCGCAGCAGCAGCAGCAGCAGCAGCAGCAACACCATCCAGCTACAGCAGCAGAAGTTCAAGAAGCAGAAAGGCCTCCCCCTATGGGCTCAGCCGCTCTTTCCTGCGGCGACCCCTCATTAGCAGCAGCAGCAGCAACAACATCAGCAGCAGCATCAGCAGCAGCAACATCTGCAGCAGCAGCAGCAGCAATAGCAGTAGCAACGGGAGCAGCAACTGCAGCAGCAGCAACAGCAGCAGCAGCAGCAGCAGCGTAAACTCACCTGCAGCAGCAGACTCTACAGCTAGCGGCAATACCACACCAAGGCTCAACAGTAGCAGCAGTAGCAGCAGCAGCAGCAAAATCTATGAGGGTCTGCTTCCTCTTGCTTCTTCAGTTGTATCTTCGCAGGAGCAGCAACACGTCGAGCAGCAGCAGCAGCAGCAGCAGCAGCAGCAGCAGCAGCAGCAGCAGGTTGTGTTGCTGAAGCAGGAGTTGCAGCAACAAAGCAAAGAATCTCTTCTGTTGTTTTTGCTGCTGCTGCTGTGGGGGGTAGCTCGGCCTGAACTGCATCTTAATCTGTTTAGCTGGTGCTATTTGCTGCTGCTGCTGCTGCACGGCCTTGCAGGTGGAGCCTTCCTCTACTGCAGCAACAGCAGCAGCAGCAGCAGCAGCAGCAGCAGCAGCAGCAGCAGGAAACGATCTTTGCTGCTGCTGCTGTTGGCCACCAATGCGTTGCTGCTGGCTTCTTCAGCTCCTGCTTCTTTTTCTTTTCTTTTCGGGGTTTTGCCGCCGTTGGCGCTGCAGCAGCAGCAGCAGCAGCTGATGCTGCAGCAGCAGCAACAGCAGCAGCAACAGCAGCAGCAGCTGCAGCAGCCGCAGGAAGAGCTCCCTACCGTGCAGCAGTCAGACAAGGGGCTGCTTACAGACGGGCAGCAGCAGCAGGCTGATTTGTTGTTTTCAATTCTGCAGCAGCAGCAGCAACAGCAACAGCAGCAGCAGCAACAGCAGCAACAGCAACAGCATCAGAAACCGGAGCAGCAAGAGCAACAGCAGCAGCCGGGGGGAAGGATGCATGCTGCAGCAGCAGCAGCAGCAGCACCAAAAGCAGCCACCGGTCCTGAGGGTGGTGCTGCAGGAGAAGCAGCAGCAGGAGCATTACCTACTGCAGCAGCTGCAACAACAGCAACAGCTGCAGCAGCAGCAGCAGCAGCACCAGCCGAAGTACCATCACCTGCAGCAGCAGCAGCACCACTTGAAGAGGCAGCATTTATAGCAGCAGCAACAGCCCCTGCAGCAGCAGCAGTACCTGCAGTAGCAGCAGCACCTGCTGCAGCAGCAGCACCTGCTGCAGCAGCAGCACCTGCTGCAGCAGCAGCACCTGCTACAGCAACAGCACCCGCTGCAGCAACACCCCCTGCAGCAGCAGCAGTACCTGCAGTAGCAGCAGCACCTGCTGCAGCAGCAGCACCTGCTGCAGCAGCAGTACCACCTGCAGCAGCAGCAACTGCTGCAGCAGCACCATCTGCAGGTGCTGCTGCTGCAGCAGCAGCTCCTGCTGCAGCAGCAGTACCACCTGCAGCAGCAGCAACTGCTGCAGCAGCACCACCTGCAGCAGCAGCAGCAGTACCACCTGCATCAGCAGCAGCAGCAGCACCACCACCACCTGCAGGAGCAGCAACTGCTGCAGCAGCACCTGTTGCAGCAGCACCTGTTGCAGCAGCACCTGTTGCAGCAGCACCTGTTGCAGCAGCACCTGTTTTAGCAGCACCTGTTGCTGCAGCACCTGCTGCGGCGGCTGTTCCCCCTGCAGCAGTTGCTTCACCTATCCAGCAAGAGCAGCAGCAGCAGAGGCGGCAACCAGAGCAGCAGCAGCAGCCAAAGCAACAGCAGCCAAAGCAGCAGCAGCAACCAGAGCAGCAGCAGCAGAAGCCAGCGCAGCAGCAGCAGCAACCAGAGCAGCAGCAGCAGCAACCAGAGCAGCAGCAGCAGCAGCCAAAGCAGAAGCAGCAGCAGCCAGCGCAGCAGCAGCAGCAACCAGAGCAGCAGCAGCAGCCAGCACAGCAGCAGCAGCCAGCACAGCAGCAGCAGCAACCAGAGCAGCAGCAGCAGTCAGTGCAGCAGCAGCAGTCAGTGCAGCAGCAGCCACAGCAGCAGCAGCAGCCAAAGCAGCAGCAGCAGCAACAACAACAGCAGGAAGGCCAGGCTGCTTCTCCGAGGGTTAGTCAGGAAGATGGGGCGTTGAGAGGCAGTGCTGCTGCTGCTGCTGCTGCGTCAGAAGCAGGAGGTGCAGCAGCAGCAGTGCCCCAAGAAGGTGCTACTGCTGCAGCAGCAGCAGCAGCAGATGCTGCTGCAGCAGAGGGTAGGAGCTTGTTGATCTTCGTTTTTGGGTTTTGTCTGTCGCTGGGGCCTCTCTGCTGTATTCCTTTTCTGTGGCTGCCAGCAAATAAGACAGTTAGTTTGCTGCTGCAGCTTACAGAGCAGCAGCAGCAGCAGCAGCAGCAGCAGCAGCAGCAGCAGCAACAGCTGCAGCTGCAGCAGCAGCAGTGGGGAGGCCTGCTGCTGCGCCCTCATGGGGGCCGAAGTCTTCGTGCAGCGCCACATATGCTGTAACTTGAGCAGCAGCAGCAGCAGATGCAGCAGCAGCATCTGCTGCAGCAGCAGATGCAGCAATAGATGCAGCTGCAGCAGTGGTGGTGTATTTGCTGCCGACCTTTTTATTTCATTCTCTCTTTTGTCTTCTTATTTGTATATAACTACACTAACTGTTGTGGATGGTTTAGGGTTTAGGGTTTAGGAGTTTGTAGGGTTTAGGGTTTAGGGTTTAGGACTTTTTAGGGTTTAGGGTTTGCTGTTCAGTTGTAGGCATCCAACAGGAACAAAGAAATAAACAATTATAAATTTAGCTGCTAAAGTCCAGGCAAGCCTCAGCTGCTGCTCCCGTTGTCGCTGCTGCTGCTGTCTGTAGGCGCAGCAACAGCCCCTCTCTACCCCCATTGCTTTCCAGCAGCAGGAGCAGCAGCAGCATCTGCATCTGCAGCAGGAGCGGCAGCATGAGGAGACGGCTGCTCGAGGTCTGTTTCTGCTGCTGTTTCTGCTGCTGCTTCTGCTGCTGCACTAGGGGCAGCAGCAACAGCAGCAGCAGCAGCAGGATAAGGGGCCCCAGGGATATCTGTTTGTTGGGGTGTACATACACTTGGAGACAGCTGCATATAATAAGGGGCGCCTGAGCATGTGCGTATTGCTGTTTGTTTTTTTTGTCTCCTTTCATGTTCAGAGTCTCCCGCTTCATCTTCATCTTCATCAAATGCACCCAACTCTATATCCCTTGTGCTCTCGCTTGCTGCTCCCCTGCTGCTGCTGCTGCTGCTGCTGCTGCTGCGTTCCCGCTGCTTCGCTAGGCGCAGCGCATGCTGTCTGTCTCTGCTGTACGACCCCACAAGAAGGAAATATAAAAAGATAGAAGTAAGCCAAGGGATTACTGTTGTGCATATTAAAGCTCTACTTAAAGCTTCTGCATTTGCTGCTGCTGCTGCTGCATTTGCTGCTGCTTCTGCATTTGCTGCTGCTGCTACATTTGCTGCTGCCGCTGATGCTGCTGCTGCTGCATTTTCTGCTGCTGCTGTATTTGCTGCAGCTGCTGCATTTTCTGCTGCTGCTGCATTTGCTGCAGCATCACCAGCAGCAGCAGCAGCAGCAGCAGCAGCAGCAGCAGCACGGGGGCCCCCCGAGTGCTGCGGAATATACCCAAAGGCTCTTTCAGCCAAAATGCCAACGAAGGGGGCCCCCAATAAAGCAGCACCTACAGACTCTGTTGTAGATACCTGCGAAATAAACAAATAATATAATAAATATATATATAAATATACTTATTTATTTATTTATTTATTATGTGAAGAGGGTTTAGGGTTTAGGGTTTTGGAGATGGAGAAGAGTGGTAGGTCGCTGAGGAGAAAGTTTTATTTCAGGGTTTAGGGTTTAGGGTTTACAACAGTAGTTGCCCTATATGATTAGGGTTTACTATTTCAGTAAGTATAAGGATAATGTGAGGGTTTAGGGTTTAGGGTTTACAAGGCTGAAGACAGTAGCCCTATGATTAGGGTTTACTATTAAGCATAAGGGTAATGTGAGGGTTTAGGGTTTAGGGTTTAGGGTTTACAAGGCTGAAGACAGTAGCCCTATGATTAGGGTTTACGATCTCTGTAAGTATCGGCCTATTAACCCCTATCCCAGGCCAGCCAGCAAGAAGCCCAATAGCAGCAGACAAAGTAAGAAAATGATAAAAACTTTGTGGGGACCTGCCTATACACCTCAGCATTATGAATAGCAGCACACATCTTAATAAGATAGCCGTTTGAGCAACTACAGGACGGCCTCTTACAGGATATTTCTTATGAATTGCATCTGTTACAACTCCAGATAGAAGTGAAGCAAACAAAGAAGTAAAAAAAGAAACAGATACAACAAATGAAGCAGATGCGTTTCCTAAGCCGCAGGTCTGTAGCCACATTGTTATAAACCCTAATGCGCTCCGAGGCATCCCGTTCAATACACCCTGAACACAAACCCTAAACCCTAAACCCTAAACCCTAAACCCTAAACCCTTAAAATCCTAATTTATTCAAAACCCGTATTGTTATTATTACATCTTCTACTCGCATGACACGCAGATTTTTCATGCAAGGTAAACAATAAAACAAACCCTAAACCCTCAAAACCCTAAACCCTCAAAACCCTAAACCCTTAAACACTCTAAACCCTAAAAACCCTCAAAGAAACCCTAACAAACCCTTACTTTAACCCTTAAACCCTCGTATAAACCCTTAAACCCTTAAATAAACCCTTACCCACTCTACACCTAAACCCTAAACCCTAAACCCTCAAACCCTTCTACAAACCCTTAAAGAGCTACAAATAATTTAAACCCGCAAACCAACTCATAAACCCTTAAACTAACCCTAAGATTAAACCCTAAACCCTAAACCCTAAACCCTAAACCCTAGGGTTTGTTTAGTCTTACCATAACGAGTAAAATCCAGAAGCTTTTGTTTTTAAGAATGTAGCGAAGGTCTTTTAGGGTTTGTGCAAACTGCCTGCAGTTGGGTATATCTTTAAAACCCCAATTAGAAAGAGAGACACGTGGCTGCTGCTGCTGCTGCTGCTGCTGCTGCTGCTGCTGCTGCTGCTGCAGCTCGTCTCTTCCGTCTACTTCACGAAGCAGCTTTAAACACAAAACCCCGAAACAAACACTAACAAACCCCAAACAGCCCAAAGCTAGACGCCATCCCTGCACACATACACACAGATTAAATGCATGCAACTGCTGTTGCTGCTGCTGTTGCTGCTGCTGTTGCTGCTGCTGCTGCTGTTGCTGTTGCTGTTACTGCTGTTTTTGTTATTGCTGTTTCTGCTGCTTCTGTTGTTGCTGGTATTTCTGCTGCCGTTGCTGCTGCTGCGCTGCTGCTGTTCTTGTTGCTGCTGCTGTTGCTGCTGCTGTTGCTGCTGCAGCAGCAGCAGCAGCTTGTAAATGCAGCAAACCCCTCACCATAATCCCCGCGACAAATACACCCGAAGAAGAAGTGATGGTTAGCAAAGCAATCATCCTTCCAAGGCCCTGAGCAAATGAGAGGGTGCCGTATGCAGCACCCACAGCTCCTTCTGCTGCAGCAGCAGCCAGCAGCTTTTGTGTGAGGGGCCCCATTGCTGCTGAAGATACACCCGAAAAAAGCAGCAGCAAAAAGAGCTGCCAGGTGCTTCCTACAGCGCTAAGAAGCAGTGTACATACACCCCAAATTGCTGCAGTTACAGATAATAAAATGCTGCTGTTATATAAATCTATTATTAAACCCCACAGAGGGCAAGAAGCTGCATGAGCTAGCTTCGCTAAAGAAGAAGCAAACCCTAAAGAAGAGGGCCCCACACTTAGCTGCAACTCAAGAGCTTTATAAGCAGCAGGTACAGCATAATCAGTCGCTGCATGCAGACACCCGTATAGCCAAGTTAGGCGCAATAAAACCTTATCTACAGCCGAAGAACCCCACAATTCGCCCCACGCAACACCCCACAACCTCCAACAACGAACACGATCCCAGGAACGATCCCCACAACGATCCCCAGAACGATCCCCACAACAGCTCCCCTCCAAACCATCTTCCCTAGCAGAAGTCGCTACACCCAAACCATCAGAGACAGCCGTAAAAGAGGGGGAGAGCGCTGAAGCGCTCTTCTTAGAGAATCTAGACATGAAAGAAGAGAAGAAAAAAACCCTAAACCCTAAACCCTAAACCCTTAACCCTAAGCAGCCTCAGGAACACTGAAACAAAGAACACAAGGAAGGGAGCAGACAGTCGATGCCGCTCCAGGCGATTCATAGAAAATAACAAACAACTTAACACGCATACATAATAAACCCACACCAAACCCTAAACCTTAAACCCTAAACCCTCAACATTCACTGCTTCCTCCCCCGCTAGGACGAGAGGGCATAAATATAGCCCTCCTCGCCTGCAACAGCTTTATTTTATGAAATATTATTCATTATTTATCTCAGAACTTTAAACAAAAAACAAACAAGAACGAATTTGCTGCCGTGTCGCAGCGTTACGCTGCGCGCGGAGGGGCCCCCGTAGAGTTGTAGAGAAGAGAGGTAAAATGTTTTTAAAAAGCGTTTATTTCATGTTTTTAAGAAGAAAAATAATTTAATTTTATATTTATATCCATTCTTTTACTCGTTTTTGAGAAGTCGTCACAGAGGCCGCCGGTCGGCTGCTTCCGCATACTGTAGCTGTGCATACACCCCAAGAGCTTAGGAAACAAACTCCTATAAAACAAATAAATTAAGAAAAATTAAATAAATGTCATATTAAAACATTAAAATAAGTCAACTATCATCAAGATTACTCCTCCTTTTGCTCTCTAAACCCTAAACCCTAAACCCTAAACCCTAAGCCGAAACATGCCTGGGGGGCCCCTAAACCCTAAACCCTAGAAAGACGAAAGATGCTACTAAAGCCTAAACCCTAAACACAACAATATAACCACCAACAAACCCTAGAGATTACTTCCAATACAACTGGGGCGGGACACAAACCCTAAACCCTAAACCCTAATCGCTAAGCTCTAAACCCTGAATCTTCAGCGCAGCCGGCCAACCCAGGCAGTGCTATCCCTGCATGTTATTCAAGGGTTTACGCTGAGGGTTGAAGATGAGGCTTTCGCGGTTTAGGGTTTAGGTCTTAATAACCATCAAATTAGGGTTTAGAATATGCAAGGAGAGAAGGAAGAACCCCTATCCGTTAATATCTACGTCTGCATCTTTGAGCTAGGGTTTAGCAATAAATGAGGGTTTACGGCGAGGGTCTAGGACTAGGGTTTACGTCGAGGGTTTAGGGCTAGGGTTTACAACTAGGGTTTAGGGCTAGGCTCTACTGCTAGGGTTGAGGGATAGACTTTACTGCTAGGGTTTAGGAGTAGGTGTTGCAGTGAGGGTTTAGGAAAGCTGTTTAAAGCTAGGGTTTACTGATAGGGTTAATGGCTTAGGTTTAGGGCTAAGGTTTGAGGAGAGGGTTTAGGGTTTGTGGATAGGAGAGGGTTTAGAGCTAGGGTTTGCGTTCATAGAGTTTAGGCCTAGGGTTTAAACTGAGGGTTTATATGTTTTCGAGGGTTTAGGGTTTGGGCTTAGGCCTTGCGCCGAGCGGCAGCGGGAAGCCCGAACCCTTCACAATAAACCCTAAACCCTAAACCCTAAACCCTGAGTCTAGCTTGGGGTGTACGTACACCTGAAGCGAAAGTATTATTATTTAGTAGGAGGGATGAAGACGTCAGTAAACATCACACGAGAAGGCCTCATTATTGCGTTCTTGTTGTCTTGCCTGCACAAACCCCAAACCCTAAACCCTAAACCCTAAACCCCAAACCCTTGCCCTCCCGCTTAGACTAAAGTCAGCTCCAAGCGCAACACCGAACGCGAGCAGCAGCCCCCAAACCCTAAACTGAAGAAATTGAGCTTCTGGCTAGGGTTTAGGGTTTACGGTTCTATGCTAGGGTTTGGGGTTTAAAGTTTTGTATTAGGGTATAGGCCTTATGATTCTCTCTTAGGGTTTAGAGTATTGGGCTAGGGTTTAGGGTTTCGTGCTAGGGTTTAGGGTTAATGCTTAGGGCTTATGGCTAGTGTTGAGGGCTTATGGCTAGGGTTTAGGGTTTTAGATAGGGTTTAGGGTTTTAGGGTTTAGGGTTTAGGGTTTGAACCTGTTGATGTAGTCTCCCCAGTTGCCAGACAGATTATTAGAGGTAAACGATAAGGAGAAGGCGCGTAGGGGCTGAAAAAGAAGCACACAAAACCCTAAACCCTAAACCCTAAACCCTAAACCCTAAACCCTAAGCCCTACATCATAACCCAGTACATTTCTTGCTGCCGTTTCAGCAAACCCCAACCCCTGAACCCTAACCCTTCACCATAAACCCTAAATTCTAAACCCTAAGCGTCACCCTATAAACCCTAAACCCTAACGCCCAACCCCTTAAACCCTAAATCTCACAACATAAACCCTAAACCCTACCACAAAAACCCTTCCTCCCAACCCCTAAACCCTAAGCCCCATTCAGTAACCCCTAAACCCTATCGCCCAAACCCTAACCCTCAAACCCTAAACCCTAAACCCCAAACCGCAAACCCTAAACGCTCAACCCTAAACCCCAAACCCCAAACCCTAAACCCCAAACCCCAAACCCTAAACACCAAACCCCAAACCCTAAACCCTAAACACCAAACCCTAAACCCCAAACCCCAAACCCCAAACCCTAAACCCTAAACCCTAAACCCTAAACCCTAAACCCTAGAGCATACGAGTTCGTGGCTGGGTGTCGGGAATGCGTGGGCGTCTGAGGAGTTGTCTCCATAAGGAATCATATTTAGACGCCAAGACAGAGAAGGCAGTATTTGAATAGATGAAGCTGCAGGGTCTTGAGCTTCTGAGGGTTTAGGGTTTAGGGTTTGGGGTTCTAGATGAGCACATAGAACACCGAAATCCTTTGCTGCTGTTGCTGCAGCAATAGCAGCAGCCCAGCTTGATTCTAATCGCTGCTCCTGCTGCTGCAGCAGCAGCAACCTATGCTCTCTCTCTCTTTCTTCTGAGAGCCAAAACCCCTCTTCTTCTAACTCTTTAGCTGCTTGGTGCTCCAGCAATGAAGTTAGATCCTGCACCCAAACCCTAAACCCTAAACCCTAAATCCTAAACCCTAAACCCTAAACACTTTTATAGTTATCACCTCCGCGAGACGCATGCAAGAAGGCCTGTGGGTTATTAACACACAAGATATTAGGGTTTTCACGTCTAGGGTTTAGAGGCAGCCTAGGGTTTAGGGTTTAGGGTTTAGGGTTTGCGTACGACTATCTTCTGGAAGGTGTCATTAAAGCGCCCAGTTATAAACATCGATGTGGCGAAGAAAGATGAAAGAGCAACGAGTTGCTGAAACACAAACCCTAAACCCTAAACCCTAAACCCTAAACCCTCAACCATAAACCCTAAACCCTAACCCGTAAGCCCTCTAAGTTTCAAGCCCTATTCCCATGAGTGTGTCGCCACATCTATTGGCGTGTGTGTAAGTACGTGTATTATTAGGGTTTAGGGTTTAGGGTTTAGGGTTTACGAGTCTGATATCTGGGTTATGTTTCTGAACGAATTGTTTTGTAGGGGTAGCAACAGCAGCAACAGCTCTCCCGAGAACAGCAGCAGTTGATGCTGCTGCTTCTTCGATAGCAGGTCTGAGGCCTCTGATAAAAAGAATAAAATAATTATAATTAGGGTGCTCCCCATAATGATGTTTATCTGCTCTTGCAGCCCCAAACAATTGATCTCGAGATACACTCCAATGCGGTTTCGCTGCTCCACCAGAGAAGCGAATAAAGGAGCCTCGTAGCAGCGCCATCTTCAGCTGTACATACACCCGAAATAATGTTCAAACAAATTATCATTTATATAACCCTAAACCCTTGTCTATACGAGGGTTTAGGGTTTTCAATTACCCCCTATATACACACAAAAAGAGGGTTTAAAGACCCGAAGACAGATTACAAGAATGTTCTATCAAGGTTAAAACCACCGTCTATCAATCAGATACTCAAAAGAAAAAATTAGGGTTTAGGGTTTAGTGTTTAGGGTTTAGGGTTTACGGCTGCGGCTCGATGAAGGGAAACACGCCCGCCTGTTAAAGGCCCCCGGGCTGTGGTGCGCGATCTCTCTGTTATTCGTGCGAAAAAGAATTCAAAAATATTAGAAAATTAGGGTTTAGGGTTTAGGGTTTAGGGTTTAGGGTTTAGGGTTTAGGGTTCTGTCTAGACAGCCCCACGGCTGCAGGAAACGAGGCGTCGGCAGACGCCTCCTTTGAACAATCATTTTAATAAAATATTTGTTTAAAAAGAATTAAAAATAAATGTAAAAATAAATAAATATATATATGTACACCAACAAAAAGTATTAGAATATTGAGGTGTATATACACCGCACGTCTGTCGCTGCTGCTCTACACCTTTCGTTTACTTGTTTATTAAATAAATTATTTCTTTTCTTTATTTATAACATAAATTTTAATTAATATATATTTATAATGCTTCAGCTTTGGTGTGCCGAAGCTGAAGAAGAACGAGCTGAAGGGCTATCTAGGTGTCATTAGGGTTTAGGGTTTATTAGGGTTTAGGGTTTATTAGGAGGGTTTAGGGTTTATTAGGAGGGTTTAGGGTTGCTCCATTGTCTGTAAACCCCCTGCTTTGTGCCTCGTCTCCTCGTCCCTTTTGTTTGCCTATGGGAGGGTTTAGGGTTTAGGGTTTGAGCTGTCTTCGCCTCTACCTTTTATTTGTCTGTGTGTATGACTCAGGCCCTCGCCAAACCCTAAACCCTAAACCCTAAACCCAAAACCCTAAACCCTTTGCTTGTTTGTTGCTGAAGCCCCTCTCCCTCGCAAGCCTTGTACTAACAAGGCAATGCATATTCTAGGGTTTAGGGTTTAGAAAGTGTTTAATAAGCTGATATTCTTTTTAAGAGAGGAGATTGCATATATAATATAATATATATATATATATATATATATATATAACTTCTTCTACCTTGTGGTGTATTTATAAACAAAGCTGAGGCCCTCAGTTCAGGTGTATATGCACCGCTTTCGTTTTAATGCGCTGTTTATAATTAACTTCGTCTTTTGTCTCTCAGCCCCAAAATAATATCACAAAAAATACAAAAAGAGTATATTTATAAATATAAATATAAATATATATATATATATATATTTACATATATATACATTTACATATATATATAATTAAATATATGTATACATATTTACATATATATACATACATATTTGTTTATTTATAGATATATATATGCATATATATTACATATATATTTACATATATATACATATATATTACATATATACTTTATATATGTGTATGTACATATATATACATATATGCCTACATATATATATATATATTTACATATAAATATTTACATATAAATATATATATATATATATATATATTTACATACATTACATATATACACACATATGCATATCTATATATGCATATATATATATATATATATACATACATATATATATATATACGTATTTATTTATACATCTGCGGTGTCTGTACACCTCTATAAATAAATATGCTGCATGCGCCACATATATTAAATATACAATATAATATATATTACATATATTATCTATGTTGTATACACCCTATCTTTATCATATATATATATATATATATATTGTGTAAGCACAGACAAAGGCGCGCAAACAGCAGTTCGATGCAGTGTATGAGATTCTCTATTAATTACTACAAACCGCATACTTATATGTATACATATAAATATATATTTGTATGTATATACATAATATATATATACATATTTATATATATACATTTATATATATATATATATTTATATAGAGGCATAAGTATATACAGATGAATATATATATATATATATATATATATAATATATATATATATATATATTGTGTAAGCACAGACAAAGGCGCGCAAACAGCAGTTCGATGCAGTGTATGAGATTCTCTATTAATTACTACAAACCGCATACTTATATGTATACATATAAATATATATTTGTATGTATATACATAATATATATATACATATTTATATATATACATTTATATATATATATATATTTATATAGAGGCATAAGTATATACAGATGAATATATATATATATATATATATATATATAGACACGCGCAGACACCAATAATTATATATATATATATATATATATAT